ACAAAAATTTGGTATGTTATTTGATTTGCACAGTTTTCAAATTTAGAAAGTTTCCATTCAGTGACACTTTTTACTCTCAAATATAGGAAAAACTATAATATTGTTTATTATATCAAATGAATAAAGTAAAGATCAATTTGAGTTTAATTGCACCAAGGTAAATTTATTCTTGTTTTAGGTGAAATTCCTGTTAATTCAAAAAAAAAACCCCAAAAAACCCCCAAAACCACACAACAATTTGAAGATTGATGGATACAGTTAACAAATTTAGAAATGTTCCCATGTAAAATTTATTGTAAATATTTTTTTTTTTTTTTTGTAAATTGTTGGATTGATAGTTTAGAAAATGCCTTTGTTTTTAAGGTGTGGACCATGTGATGTTTATTAAAACAAATAATAACCTGAACCAAGTAGTAATATTAAAATATAGAGAAAGTAAAACTTGAATGTATTGATCAGATCTGAAAGAGAAAGAGAAAAATGGGGTTTAACATCCACTCGACACAAACTAGGTCATTTCAGGACTAACACTTGTTTCAATTTTATTTCAATAATTTGCTTGTACGTAGTGATCTTTAGCAGTGGAAGGAAACCGGTCGACCCAGGAAAAAGCCACGAGGTGAGACAAGCAGGGTATCGACAGACCTTATGATCTAATGTGCATGCGTTAAACCATTCGGCTACCCCCCCCCCCCTTATCAGATCTGAAGATATAGCTTATTCGATGTATATCAAAGAAATTGACAAAAGTGTTGTGACAACATTTGAGTGTAATTGATTTAGAAAGCAGTTAGCCAATTTCATATGCAATTATTGTGATTGTTTGTATTCAACTGATTGTTGATGTATTTTGTTTGATTGGTGGGTGTTCAACTAACATCTGAGACATCAGTGTGTCAATTAAATTGATGTTTCAATTTGTAAAATTAATAAAATATTTTATCATGTGAAGGATGCTATCTTTGTACAATATAAACTATCTTTTCTTTTAAAAGAACATATTTGAAATTCTGTTCATTGAGTGGTTAATTGGTGTTATTGTGAGAATGCTGGACCATTATCAGTTAGTGGTAAGAACATTGTTTGGTTTAGGAAGAAAGGAAGTGGTCACTCCTTGCGTCTCGCTGACCGGTGGTCTCAGTGTTTGTTTTACCGCACAGCTACGAAGAATCAACATCATTGTTAACGCTTTAAACTAAGATCTGAACTCAGTTTGAAACGGATTGGGACTCATTAGAGAGACGATAATCAACCAAGATCACAGTAAAGTCGCCATCTTAGTATTTTGTGTTGTTCTTTCTGAGAATACTTTGATTAAATATTGACCATGGTGGACCGTTTGTTGATCATCTGATTTGACCATAGATATTGTAAGAAGCGTCTAAAACTTCTTGATCTCTGTCACATGTATGAGATAAAAGAAAAAAAATGACAAGCACGGGTCAACCCCTTCGTGGATTTACTCCTTGTGTTGGCTTGTTAAGTTTCGGCTGATTAAAAAGATTAAAATGCCTCATCTTTTACATTTTTCTTTCTTTGTTAATTGTAAAACTTTGGTCATCTCTCTTTTAGATGAAATCACGTAATGTTTGATTTGAATCGAGCAGTGTTCATCAGTTCACTGAACTTCTTTTAGTTCTCAGTACTTCCGCTCTAGAAAACTTTCATTGATATTAATTAAGAGTCAGAATGACGGAATGAATTGCAAGAATTGTTTTTGTTAACTATTTTCACAAATAACTTCACAATAAATGGATTCTTTTATCCATCGGCTGTACTTTCAGTATGGATTTAATTAATTCGTCAGTCTTGGAATTTATTTAATATATTTTCACAATAGATAAACTATCCATTGAACTTAGAGACTATATGATACAAGTTACATTTAACATGAAAGAGTCCTTTTAACATTTTGTCCTAAAATAGATCTTCAATTTTTTAAATTTTGTCATTTGTGGCACAAGGATGTACCATTGCACCTTTTTTCAGCATGACAATATTTTTTTTTTTTTAAAGTGTATTGTGTCCCTGAGATCAAAGGTTACTCTATTTTAAAGCAATTTGAGTTATTTCTTTTTCTACAATGTATGGCCAAGCAAACTGACAAAAAGTAAGATGTCATTTTTATTGTTCGGACGAGTACAAATTTAACTTTACCCTAAAAATAATTTGTCAAACGTACACAGACAAAAACTAAAAAATAACATTGTGACAGGAGACCTGAATAACTCGAACCTGTCTCAAAGGTCAGAGTTCAAGAGGAAATTTGACGTGTGCCACGAATTACAGACATAAGCACTTACAGGAAATAGTTGGTTAAGATGATTGTGCTATAAGGAAAAGGTCTGTTTCCTTTTATACTTGAAGTTCAAGATACACTATTGTTCTTAACTTACTACATTTATTGACATTTAAATATTACTTAACTTCTCCATGTGTTTCATTGTTATCAAGCCATTGTTCTTTTTCAATTATAATAGCATTATAGTATATGTGACAGGCCTGGTATATGACTGGTATATGATTTAGGAATGTATTAAGTGATACATGTAGGTCTGCAAAATAAGTCTGGAAGGAAGACACATTGTCAAGCCCAAATTCAGACATTGTCAGACACAAACACTCTGGAACTGGACGTGCTGGACACAGATTCGTGTTTTATTCTCTGACACTTTGTCAGGTACAAATAACATTATTGTTGTTAGATCGTCTACAAAACCAAGGGAGTCTTAGTTAAATGAACAGTATAAGCACCGGTACTCCGGGGGACTAGGTCTTATTCAAAGAAACCTAAAAACTCTTCAAATGGATTCTAAATATCTAGATATTAAAATTACTTTGTTAGCATGGTAATATTAAGCATTGAAATTGATAATATACTAAGTATTTTTGTGTGAAAAAAAAGAACCCAAGAGAATTTTTTTTCCATTGAAGCCAATATGTAATTACATTAAAGGATAAAAAATTGTTGCTTTGGTAAAAAATGTGATTGAAAAAATATTTAAAACTAACTTCTGTATATAGGACGCAAAAATAACTGGTCTGGTTGATCATCAAATTAGATTGTGTTTGTAGAATTCTGAGTTCAAGCAGGTCAACTGTCATTAAATATCGTCAGTATATTTTAGTGCAGTATTTCAATTCAATAATCAATAAAGATGATTAATATTCAATTTTATTGTATATGGTCAGTGAGTGTGAAGGGTCAAGCATAACTTATTACTCTCTGACCCTTGTCCAGACTTAAAAGGTCACGGTCTAAAGATTTTTCCTGGTATATAAACAGAAACAGTGGGATATCAATCATAAAGAGATACATTGTTTCCACCCACCATATTTATATTAAAAAGAACCTCATCTTAATTTATTCAATTTTTTTATGGAAACATGAAATGAAACAGATTTTAAACTGAATAAAAAAATCAGTGGGGTTATTTGTGGGAGCTATGCGTTAACAAAGATTGTGATTTTTTTTTTATGGTCGTATTTTTCCCCTGAAAATTGTCCAATTAAATTTGATACCCTTCATTGGTTTCCCTGAACACTTGGTTACCCTAAATAAGTACACTTACCATATTAGTTTATTTTTTATGAATATATAAAATTGGAAATGAATTATTAATATATGTACCGGTAGTTTCAACCTTCTAAACCTTTTTAATAAAGATAGAAATTGATTTAAAATTGAATGAAATTTGATATTATATTGGTGTGGTTCTAATCACATTTTGGATTAAATTACAAAAATCGGCTGTTCCCATGGATTTTTATAATTCTACACACTGACTTTATTTTTTATTTAGGGGGTCATGGTGGCTAAGTGGGTTAGATGCTGGCTCGCTAGCCTGAAGGTCGGTTGTTCGATCCCTGCATTGGCTGAGAAAGTTCATCCAGATTTTCAGGCGTGGTTCTCCCTTGTCAGTGATGCAGGACGGAGGGCCTGACAAGGACAGCTGTCTAGTCTCTAAGATGGGATGGAAAAAACAAGGTCCCGTGTACACATTGGCGTGCACGTAAAAGATCCCTTGACAGTAGGAATTTGATATAAAAGTAGGCCGTAGTGCGGCTGTCCTGGCAAAATTTCTCTCATATCACACTGTATGGTGTGTGCCCGTCTTCATTAGCCCAGTTCAGAGCAGTAGGATGTTAAACCCCATTTCATTTCATTTCATTTATTTATTATTTAGTCTAGTAAAAGAACAAGCAACCTTGTTTAGGTACATACAGACCTGGTAATAATTATTAACTGTACCTGACAATATGTCAGATACTAATGAAAGCTATGTACTGAGTAATGTTGATTAAGTAGGTTTAACATTTTTTTAAACAGTTAAGCCAAGATTATACAATACAGATTAAAATTCCTAAAGTTATGATAATTATTTATATAAATCTTAGCTGTAGTGTCCTAATGTTTTACACAGATTGAATTTGAAAATTGAATGTTATAGAGTTTAAATGGTTGATTGTTTAATTGAAAGAGGAGTGTGTGGTTTACAGATGTTTAAATGTATAGTGATGATAATTGCATACCATAACATGAATACACTCTTATTATTGCTCCAATAGTTCTCATGCCCAATTTATTTTGTCTCTTTTTTTTTCTTCTGAATGAACTTTTTGCAAATTAAAAATGTTTGTCCGTGTGTGGTGTAGTACAGGTGTGATGCAGCACTGTATAAAACCGAAATAAATCATTAAGCAGCCATGTGGCAAACAGGCAAACCGTATGCACAGTACTTTATAACTGTATGGATGTAAGAATGTAGGATGTTCCACCACAGAGGTTTTTAATCTTAAACCTGACCCAGACCTGATAGCTCCTGTCAGTCCACCAACTGTGGATACCCCATTATTACCAAATTTAGTATGTCGGAAATTACTTCAAGGGATAATGCCACCTACATGTATGGGCCATGTACCATCATGTAATAATTCCCCCCCCCCTTATTTTCAAGTTTTAAAAAATTATTGAATATATATTTTATTTTATTTTTTAGGCATCTCGTAAAGTATCCAAGTGTGGTTATCTGTTTGTAGCACCTGATTTTGATTTTAACAGTCCACTAGATAGAACTAAGGTAAGTTATTGTTCAATATATTAATTTTCTTGATGGTCCAAATCTCTCATGATAAGGGTAGTTGAGTGGTGCACCATTCCAATCACTGAAATACTGAATCAAAATCTGTGAGCACAAATTGTTCTATCTACAAAATGGTAGAGAATATCCGGTCAACACAATTGGTCATTTTGAGACTAACGTGGCAATTTTTATTTCTGTGATTAAGTGTGCAAGGAAGAGAATTTTGCCCAGGCAGCAGCTTTTCTGCCTATTCTTCTTTGATTCCAACTGTCAAGGATTCTTATACATGGACAGGCATGCTAATGTCTACACATGTGGACCTCTTTACTTTATTTTTTTTATCCCATCAGAATGACTAGGCACTCTTTCAAGGACAGTTCCGACTGTGCCACTCCTGACAATTGAAGGTTTGGCTTGAAAAATCATGAAATTTGCTATTCGTCCATGCTGGGATTCGAACATTAGACATTCTAGTTCAGTGTCCTAACCGCTCGATTACCATATATCCATCTCCAGGTGCAAACTGAAAAACAAGCGATTAAAGCCAAAGTGAAGTGGTCAAGGTTCCTTACAACCCTGGCTAGACTGAAGGGATGTTTTAAACTTGGACACATGTAATATAGTAAAAGTTTCGTAATGACAGGAATATGTCCATCCACTGGTTGATTATGTTAAATTTAAAAACCTGGTCAAAGCTGTGTGAAGAAAAGTTAAAAAAAGGAAATTAAATTGACATTTATTGTAGTCTGAAAATAGATCTTTTTATCCACCTTTATAGAAAATTGATTATGCACTGTCTGTAAGTTACTTTCTAGGTGCAGTACATGCACCTTCCATAAGCTCAACTACAGAAATTTTGCTTGAACACCTTTCCGACATTGCTATAAATAAGATTATAAACTATAATTATAAATATGTCAATTTTTGTTTATTATCCTTTCTCTATCTGACAAAAATAGCAACAGTTAGAATAGATTTATAGTGGTTATGTAGGAAATTGGATATTTAGGTTTTATTCTTGTCCTTAATCTTGATGAACTTTGTTTTATCATGTATCTTAAGAGTGTTTTAACTGTCTTTATAAAAATACCATGTCTCCACTATTTAGGTTAATTATCTCCATGATAAAAGTACACTGTCATTTTAAAAGATACTGAGTCAAATCAAATGGTTCATAAATGTAATTTACGGGGGTCTAGCCAGATTGTTTTTTTGTGAAATATGGCAAAGGTTTATTAAAAGTGCTAATATAAAAAAAATTCAACTAGATTTGGGTTGACTTTTAACATAGAAATAATTCCATAATTAAGAATTACTGCTGAAGGTAGGGGTTACACACATAGTTGATGGTATATATATGATATCAGCAAATAAAATAAGGATGAAAGAATAGAAAGGGCAATGCAATGAAACTGTTGAACTGAACAAAATCCAGAAAGTGAACCAGGAAGCAAATGAGGGAGGGTGGGCTGATGCTGAGCACCACAGATGCCTTATGAAGTGTTTCTGTTCTTGAGATGAAGAATTCTATTGCTTTTCAACAATTTCCAATAATGACAGTGGGATTTATTGCCCTTGATGAATTTGAAAAATGTTTTGTGGATGCTCTAGAGGCTAAAGGTATCAGGAAAAAGTATTGATAAGTATTGCCCTTGATAGTTTTTAGTGCCTTTTAAATGCTCCCATTAACTACAAAAGAATAAAAATGTGACAACCTTTATGGACTGCTTATAGGGCTTAGCTAACGTGAGAATGTTTCATTGCCTGACAACCTCTCTTTTCTTCTGTTTAAATATATTTTGGAATTGGTGTTTCTAGTGTGGTTCCTGGAAGGTAAAAGAACCATTACAAGGTTTATATGAAGAGAAACCCTAGGTTATTTCACTTTTGAGGCCCCTCCAAACCTTTCACCCTCATGATATGACTAGAAAAAAAGTTGAAAGTGTGTTTTAAACACAATTGAGCAAAGCCAAGGATGATGATGAATGTTTAAGACTACAGTGAATGTGAGAAAGGATTATGATAGCATCAAAAATATTATACACGTTGGTCGGAGGCTCCCTAGATCTTGAGGTCTTAAGGCTGCCAAGCCTTTTGGTAAATTCTGGCAATGAAAAGAACCGCCAGGAATGGACCTAAATACCCCAAAAAGTTTCTCGGCATCTTTCACATCTTTTACTACTTGATTTTATTGCACTTGTAAATATATATGAACTACATAATATGACAAGCATTTAGGCTGACAAAATGAAATGTTTTGTATTGTTTGTTTTTGTGTAAGAAAGGGTGTATTAATCACACAAGGTATATTTATTTTAAAGGGTGTGTTGACAGGCAGAGATAAACTTTTAACATGTAAGAATTGATGATAAATGTTTAAGAAGTGAGAAGTGAAATGACAAAGTAGATAAAATAAATGTTAAAAAAACCTTTATATATAGTAGTGTAGATATGACAACTTGTCACAATATTAATAAATGGATTTTGACTGTTATCTGAACTTCTGAAGATGGACCAGAGAAAAAAATTGTATATGTAGATAGTTGTTTTTAATTGCATTTTAATAGAGTGCAGAAAACAGTTCTTGCAGCATTTCTGGTTGTCCAGGCATGGATTTTAATCCCACTTCTGCTTGCAAAATTGTGAAAAGGAGAGGGCTTATTTATATCAAACTCCCAATGGCTGTTAATTGAATCAGTTAAATATTAGGAATGATGAACTAAAAGGTGGGGGGTGGGAATGAAATGTTTTTTAACGATGTACTTTTTTGCGAAGATGGGCGTACGCCATACAGTGCACTGCGGCCTACTTTTATATCAAAGTTCAACTGTCAAGGATTCTTTTACATGTACATGCATGCCAACTATTGACAAGTTGAAACTGTTGAAAACCCCAAGGAACTGTCTGCCATCACTGGGCGTGAACTGGAGATCAGGTTAGCGAGCAAGCTTCTTACTCACTGATCTACCGAAGGTAGGGGAGGGGCCACAAATCATATTTATTCTGATTATGACAATAGTGATATCAAATATAGAAGCCTGCAAATTAAAATCACTGATTGTCATTATAGAACAAAATATCATTGGTAGGTAATATTCCCCAGTCAGATTCTATTGCATTAAACAATACATGCACTGTTCGTATCACCACCAGAGGATGAGGATTGTTGCAAATTTTTCAATTCCTTGTATCTTTGTAAATACAGAACGGAATTGAACCGTTTTTGGATTGATACTCATTAAAGAGATTCAACTTTCAAGGGATTTAAAATCCCTGAAATGACAATCAACAGCTTTATGAGCAGATAATTTACTTATATAGGTTGTACCTTTAATTTGAGAGATTTGGAGAGCAACCATCTTGTTGGATAAATTGTTCATTATAAGCAAAATAATACAGGACTACAGGGTTTAATTTAGCATAAAGAAATAACAATCAAATCGCTAAACGTACCATAAAGCCTGACAGTGGGTTCCTTTAAATACATGCATTAAGCGTTTATAATACGATAAATCCCCTCTAATGCTGCTTTATATGAGGATAATTGCTAGTGATTTTTATCTGGAGATTAGCAGGGGATTAGGAAAACCTGGTACAGGTGATTTAACATAAGGTCAAATTAAGTTGAACTATATGTTGACCTTGAGAAACTGACCACTCCTATTGAAGATATAAAGTGTTTGAAGTAGTTAATCAATATTATCATATCTTCTACTAATGTCTACTTACTCTAAGCTTTATCAAATAAATCTACTTGTCTTAATAAGATCAACTTTATTCTATCTTTTATCTTTAAGCTTGTATTTATATTAACAACACTTTCACAATTTTTCTCTGATGTTCTTACTTTGAAAAAATAGGATCCCATATTATTTTACATGTAATTTTCCAGATATTATATTCGCTTAAAGATGCATTATGTAAGGTTTAGATAAAGAGCTGACAATTTTTGCTTTATAGTTTAAAAATAAATAATGGAAAATGAATATTTTGAAAATTTCAGTCAAATTATTTTTATCCAAGTTACAAAAGTGTGATGATTTGACAAGAATAGCATAGTCTCAATAAATGAAGTCTTAATTTTTATTTTAACGTTAACTGATTACATGGCGTGGATGTTCTAATCCACTTAATATCTTAGCCATTTGATGGTATAGATTACAGGCTTGTTATGTGAATTAATGTCTAAATAATAATCTATATAACATTTGAAATCAGACAAAAGACCTGCAATAGGTAGATTTAGCTCTTACATAATGCATCATTTACATGACAAAGTATTTGCTTCATTGTCAAGTCTGCCTTCATTAGCCCTGTCCTATCTAAGTAAGGTTGTGCAGAACAGAGGGTCTGGCATAGAACAGTATCTAATTTTTTGATAGGACGAAAAAGCATGGTCCATGTTAAAGCCCTTGGAGGTTGGAATTTAGCCAGGTTGGCGAAGAAAAGTAGGAAAATAAACCCCATTTCATTTCATTTCATTTTCGATCATGACCATTTGTTTTAATCATAACCATGTTTTAAGAATGACCATATGATATGTATTTGCATGTGTCACACTATGGGTATATGTCACTGATTTAATTGTTGATTCCGTGCTTGTGACATATATTCGCATGTCTATATCTGTGGTTTGTCTCTTGATTTCCTCATTCTGAAAGATAAAAAATCATGGAAATACTAGATGTCAGTCCTGAAATAACCTAATTTTGTTGAGTGAACGTTAAAGTCCATTTCCTTCCTTGTGTGTGTTTCCGTCATGAGCATGTATTTGTGTTTGTTGACCGTATGATCACTAACAATATAGAATTTGTTTTCTGTGTATTGTCGAGTCTCTCCGCCTACAACAGTTCATTCAATGTTTTATCAGGTTATAAATAAACAATACACCAGCAGTCTCAGTATTTGAATAAGACATCCCCAGAATTAACATCAAACATTGTTTTAGCTTAAAAACTTTCTGTTTATTGTATTAGATAATAGAAACCACAGTGCGAAAACTACATGTTTTAAGTTTGGGGAAAAAATTCTCTGGATATTTCAATTGTTGTTGAGCAGTTTGGTATCAATATTTGGGAGTGGAGCTAGCCTAGATAAAAGCTTACAACTATTTGTAAACAATTACATCTAGATAAATATTTACTTACATAATACATGTGCATGTTCTACACAGTGTATATTACACGCTGGCCTGCCCACTTCCTGTCATGTGTGGCAATACCTTCTGATTTGAAATGTATGTGGTGGTTTGTATAAGTTAAATTAGTTCATTTGTTTTGTTTTGTATACAATAATGTTTTACGCTGTCCTTCCCACCTCCTGTCATGTATGGCGGTATCTTCTAATATTGGGCTCATTTGTATATTGATGGTTTGTATATGTTAAATTAGTTCATTTGTTTTGTTTTGTGTACATTAATTTAACTGATATTACACATTCTCCTGTCCACTTCCTGTCATGTATGGCAAAATCTTCGTATATTGCATACACTGATTTGAAATGTTGATGGTGGTTTGTTTTAGTTAAACGAGTTCATTTACCATCGTTTGTTTTATTTTGTTTAGACTAATTTAACTAAAGAACATGTAAATTGGGTTAGTTATTAAAACGGTTGCTCTGTGAATTGAACTTTAAGATTGTTGGATAATATTGAAAATTTTGAAATGTACATGTAGGTGTTGGTTTGTATTAGTTAGATTAGTTCCTTTATTATTGTTTGTTTTGTTTGCATACATTATTTTAACTAAAGAACATGTAAATTATTTTGTTATTGAATTTACTTTAAGAGCTTTGTATAAGGAAGAAGTATTATGGTTGTGTAACATGATAGCGGTTGTTGGTATTGATTTATAATGATGCACTTGTGTGAGGGTATTCTACATCAATTAAGTTAAATGTTTTTGATCTTGGCAATTTGATTGTCACTGTTTGTGTATAGAGAAAAAAAGTGTTTCATTAAATGAAAGATGCTGAAAGTTGAACAAATCTAGAAAAAAGAGAACACATCGAAACCAAAATTGCAATCATACTATGCAACTTTTTATTTGATTTCTCAGGATTTTCTTATCAAAGAGAGAGAGAGGAAGACTTTGTGAGAATGTGTGATTTTAGGTCGCTGTAGTTCATTAGAAATGTTTGCTTTGTCAAATAGACAGTTTTTATTGACCTTTGTTAGGCAATAGAATAACATTGTATTTGTACCTTAAATCCAAGAGCGAGTATGTGATGATTTTAAACAATTATATAATTTCTGTTCAAGTTGGCACCTGTCATTCAGCTCTCAGTCTTACATGAAATGAAATCGGGTTTAATCTCTTACCTTTCTGCACTGACTGGGCTAATGAAGACAGGTTGAGTCCTAGGTACACTTGAACTTACAATACGATTCATGTAGAGCTTAAAGGAGCTAAATCGCTAATATTTGGGACCTAGAAATTAACACAAATGGGTCGCAACTCATATAATAATGTAAAATGAATGTATATAAACTGATTTACATTCAATCATTTCTGATTTTACTGTAATTTCTAATCAGTTATGTTTGGCAAAATACGCCAGAAGTGTCAATCGAATGGCAATCACTAGCATCTGGTTATTCTAGTCTTCACCGATAGTATTTATTGCGCATACTCTCCAGATAAGAATATAAGGTCACCGTTTGACATGACTTGTGGAATATGTGCAGCCTGGTTCTTCGAATCCCTTGTTACAAATGGCACTGAAACGCATTATGGTACACGATTTGTGTACCAATGGTAAAATGTTTATTTTGTCTTAAATATCGGATATCAGAAGCCCATCTTTTCCCAGTAAGATCACAACATCAATGTTGATTTAAATTCACAAATAATTTGTGTTTTCAATGTCGAAGACTTTGGATGATATTGAGTTAGAGACTTAGCTACTGTAATAGAAGGCTTGTTTTGGTTTAAGATGTGGTCCAGTTTGACTTTCAACAGAGCTATAGGGCAGCACTTGTGTAATATTTAAGGGTGGTGCTAGATAAATATATACATTAGTCTAGAGCTGTTTATTTCCTTAATCTTTATTGACAATATTTTGTTGGTGTTAAACCACGGTTTCTAATTTATTATTTAAACGATCTGAATAAAATCATTGTTTTATCATTTTACAGAGATGGCAAAGAAGATTTTTTGTTTTATATGATGATGCTGAGCTCACGTTCTCTGTTGATGATAATGTAAGTATTTAAGTTTAGTATTTATGTGTAAAATATTTTATGCGTGTGAAAGGAAAACAAACGGTAGATGTACATTACACAGAGATGATATTTGATTCCAAAAGGGGATGACTAAACATGTAAAAGTATACAACATATACATGTAGGTAGACATGGAGGTTTGATAACATAAAAATGTGACTAAAAATTCAATGTTTTTAGTTGAACAAGCATGAGCATACTATGGACTAGCAACCAAACATGACATTATCACAGCCATCTTGGAATTGTGACATATCAAAAATCAAAGTCGTTGAATTGATGCAGAATTGTCCAAGGAACAAGCATGTCAAGTTTCATGTCGAAGAGTGTTGCACGCTTGGGACACAATAACTTTAGTTCTAATTATTAGTGAGAGTGATGATACTTGGTGTATGGTTTCATGACCTCAATACCTTGACTAAGTTCGATAATGAGCATTTTCTACTCTGGGTAAGCAGAGCGATTAGCAAATTGATTTGTCGAGACTTAGGAACGCAATAACTCTCCTAATTGGGGTGGAATGCTCAAACTTGGTGTAGGTGTCTATTAGGTGAATCCCTTGACAGAGTTTGATCATGCATATTTTCCACTAAGGCTATAGCAGAGATAAGCAATTTGAGTATTTGAGACTTTTTGAACACGATAACATTGGTTCTAATTGGATGAGAGTAATGAAACATCAGCCTCACTGTTAGCTTGTTTAAAATGTTTTGAGTATAGTTAAGTAGTAACATTCACTTTATGGAAAATAAGTGTGTGTGTGTGTATGTGTATGTGAGTGGTGGGGGGACAACTGTGTAAGTTCTGCAGGCTGGAGGACATTGCAAGGAAAAAGGGTTATATGAAAAACAGACGTCCACATAACAAAGGCCCTCTCATTAGCCAATTTGATGCAGAAAAGTAAGACGTTCACACCCATTTCATTACATTTATCAATGAGATGTGAAGAGATTATAGGTGGAGACAAGTTCTGTATTGTTTGTCATGCACTTACTGTTTGTGAACTCTTTATAAAGACTTTCTAATGACTCTTTGCATATACAGATCTTATAGGATTACCGTCTGTATATTGACAAGTGTTAAGATTTTATGAATAAACTTTTATTTGAATTTAAATTCTATTTCAAATTGAAGTGTGTGTTCATATCTAGGCCATATAAGATAGGTATATACTGACGATTAAACGATTAGGGATTTGTTCAGAGAAACACAGTATAATTCTAGTTCAATAAATATAACGGTACTTGTAGATTTAAATACTTGTTAAAAACACAGATATCACAAATTAAAATATAAACTATAAGTTTCCCCACAGCAATCAGTCCGCTGAATCCTGAAATATAATAATAATAATAAATCCGAATAATAATAATAATAAAAATTCACAGTCACCCTAATAATAAAAACAAAGTTAAAGCAAACGGTATTTTTCCACTAGCACAGATATAGAGCGCCCTAACAATAACTTCTTATATGCATTTCATGACAATAAATCTTGACATTAAACCCTGTTTATTGTAATTCAGGTGCTTGATTTATTATTAATGTATATATAATATATAATTAACAGGTGATTATTATAAAGTACAGGTATTTAATAATAAGTAGATATAATAATAAGTATGTGAAGACTATTATTATATGTTATTATAGGTACCACACCTGGCTTATATAACAATAATTACTGTATTTGATTCAATAAATACACGCTCAGACCGGGAAATAACAGTTTTAGCTGTACATGCAAAATGTCAGGCACTACTGAACTAGCACCTGACATTTATAACTTTGTGTCTGACATGTCTTAAAAATATTTATAAATGACAGGCGCCAGAAGGAGTTTGCCTGCCAATTAAGCCTGAGTTGTGCCTGACAATGTCAGTGACAGGTGCCCTGTTTCCAGGCTTGTTAGTAGGAAATGCTAGCAGATTAGAAGATGCACAAAACCTCCAAATACATCACAAATAAGATGGGTAAAATACAATTTGTTATTTCCCCATTCAAAAGCCTAAAAGTTGAGTTGTGTGGTTTTGATCCTGCACAAATTTTCAGCCCAATAGTTCATGTCCAATAATAAAAATGGCCCGGAGCAAGTGATATTTTGTTTTCTGAACGGAGTATGTGTTTTTGTACTCATTGAAGGTTAAGCATACAGTTTAGCATTGGAAGTACAGGGGTATTAGACAAATCAACAGAACTGTTGAAAAACTAACTTTATTTCTATTGTATTAAATGAACTACGATAGAACTGTAAGAATAAGTACAGTGCTACAATATAACTTGTTTCTATTGTATTAACTATGGTAGACCAATAAGAAATGATGTAAAAAGTTCAAGGTCTTATAAACAATAACAAAAAAGCAACCTGTCTGCCTATGATTGATAGTCTGTTCTATAGTCAATATTCTCTCACGGATATTAGTTTTACATTAATACATAATAATTATAGTCACAAACAAGATACACACTGGCTTTATTTAAAAACTTCGGAAAATGGAAAAGACACAGTTCTCACAATAGTGTCGCTGGAAGGTGGTGGGGGATTACCTTCATAATAACTTGAAAAGATATCTAAGATCATCTTGATCACTTACAAAAAAATATACATACAGATATCAGACTACAATAGTTGGATACAAGATTTTATCATCTTACTTTGAAATTCAGTTATTTTGAAAAATAAATAGTAGCCCACATATAATGAACTGTTAAACAGTGTTCTTTAATCTAGGTTATTTGAATTTGTGACTTACTGCTAGAGCTGAAATAAATTGAAATGGGGGTTTTCTACATCATGTGGGCTAATGAAGACCAATCTGGTTAAAACACAGATCCTATTTCGTTTCGTTTTTATAGTTCAAAATTTCGTTTTACTTGTCTTTACTACACTTGGATCTGGAAGAGTTGTTATTTAACTCGTGTTCTGAATGGTGTCAGGGATAAGCCAATGAAATGGTCTGTTACGGCGAGCTTTAGACGTGTTTTTCACGGAACTGTGGGTAATCCACTAGTAACATCAATGCTGATTGGTTAATCAAATGTCTGACGTCATAGGGTCATAAGTCGGTCTTTTGACCCCTGACGTGACCTATCGCTATAACTTGTCAGATCTTCATGTAGTGTAGGCCATCGAAAGTATAAAAAAACGAAACGGAAAATAGATCTGTTTTTTAATCAGATTGAATGAAGACAGGCTTTTGCCGTGCAGTGTTCTATTAGGGAAATTTTGCTAGGTCTACTCTTCATGATATTTCAAGAGGTTCCCTGCACCACTGTCAAGGGGCAAACACACAAAAAAATGCAGAAGAATTCTCAACCAACATCGGAATCAAACCCAGGACCTCCAAGTTGACGAGGTTTACCAAGTACACTCCAGTAACATTATTGTATAAAACTATGTTTCGTTGTTTATAAAGGTAAATGATTATAATATACACACACCAGGTACACCTATATCTTACTTAACAATACCACCACTGATTACAGGTAGATTGATATACCTGTAGGTAGAGATACAGTGGGAAAATTAAAACAAACAATACACATAGTGTTTCCTTTATACTATAGACTAATGTCTGTAAATGATAAAAAAAGACTTTTGAATTTTGCTGCAATCTAGTTTCTAATACAATAGATTCATTATCATAGGTTTCAGAGATGCATTATAGATTATGAATATGTATCTTATCACAATTTTGTCATCTCCAAAGTCAGTTTCAAATAGATTTATATGATAAAACAAAAGTGTAAGAAAATATTGTAGCATTGAATCAAACTGTTTTGAGGATGTTAATCACTGGGTCCATGGGTGAAGAACAATGTCATAGTAATTAGGTGATAGTATTCGTATTGTGTGATCAAACTAGTATGTCTTCTGTCACTTTGGTTATGTAAATTTAAAAACCTAATCAGATTTTTAGGGTTCCATAAACTTAATATGATATTCTGTGTTTGATGACAGTTTGGTGGTTCTGTATGTTGGGTAGAGTGGAAAGTATATGTTAGTCCCAAGTATTGTGTTAAGTAGACATTGTCATATTCCTTTTGGGGAGTGTTGGTTGAGTGGTCGAGTGGTCTAACGTTTCGTTTTAGATGGTAAAGTCTGTCATTAAGTGAAGTGGCATGGTTTTGATACTAAGCTTGTATGTGACAAGAGCATTGCATGCCCAACCTCATGAACTTTCTCCGGGTCCTTCGGTTACCTCCTACAGCTAAAGACCCAACTCGCCAGTGAATTTTAAGAATAAAATTGTACCATTTGTTAGTCCCGAAATTACCTAGTTTGTGCCAATATAAGTATTAAGAGTTTTAAAACATTGTATGGATGTTTGTAAGGTTTGTAGATGACTGTAGCATATAGTATGTTTTAATTCCATGCAAAGACGGGATGTGGTTAGTTTTATTAAATTGATAACAATGTTGTTACTTTAACTGAGGACCACACTACACACAACAACTAACTAACTAGTACTCCACAAAACAAACGCACAGACAACTAGATATTAACATATAAATCCAACAATTAATTGCCCAGTGGTTTTGATTGATATCAATTGTTTCTATAGTAGTAAACAGATTAATCTACAGTTGATATAATACATTGTCCTTAAGTCATGTGACGTCAGTGGCTGTTCTTGTTATTGTCACCACATCAAGCCTATCATTTTACACTATTATAATACATAAAACACATTTATACTTGTAGAACACACTAATTATGTTATGGTTTGGTAACTTTGGTTAGTGGGTGTTGAAAAATTGAATATAGGCTTTAGGGTTTTCATATCATTTTCATACATATAAAGCAGTGCAGGTGGATATAATTGCAAATACTTTTTGCTTAAACAATATTTTATTCATAGAAATGTGTTAAAGGAGAAATTAAGTTTATGTAAGTCAGAATAATCTGTTGTCATGTTAATAGATGAATATGCAAGGAAGAATTTAAGCCCTACGTAAGTGTAAGATACTTCAATAATGCCTATTGTTTATCATATAACACCCCATCATATTTTCTTAGCCTGCTTTACAGACCTAGGGGTTTGTGTATCCTTTAATTCACACAAAAATAAAATAGGACAACATTAGCTAATAATAAAGTATGACGTCATTACATAAATCCAACAAAAGGTTAATTTAAAAAAAAAAAAAATGGGAGTTACCACATTTAATCAAGTCCTGGTGGTATAATACACAAACTATGTTTTAATAGAGAGTGATTTATAGAGTTGCCTCAGGACACATTGATCAAAACAAAATAATTGGCTTCACTCACATAGAAAACATAGGATTGTAGATTGACCAACCATTAATAAACTATAATTAAAGGGACATTGTTTATTTTTTAAAACTTTAATACCAAATGAGCGGAAAAGGCACCAAATAAAATGCTAAAAGGAAAATTATTCAAACATGTATGTGTTTTAAAAGATGCATTATGTAAGATTTAGATGATGATAATGAAAAATGAATATATTGAAAATTTCATTCAAATTACCATATTCTGAGCAAAGTTATGAGTGTTTGAAGATGTATAATAGTTTGTTTATTATTATTGTAGCAAATATGTCTGTCCTAATATATAATAGAAAGAGTACATTCTTCTGCTAAATAATACAGCCATGAATTTCTTTTGATATTGAACATGTAACAGTAAGCTTTATTTTGGAAGAAGTTGGGTTTAAAGCCTATGAAGTCTGATAACAATATACATGTATTATACAATAAAAATTTTAAACTGTGAAACTATGTACCAAAGACAGTACATGTACCTTCTGTTGAAGTCAACACAACAATGCTGAATGATCATAATAACCTCCGCATGGTGTTTTATTCAATTTTTGCACCTAATTACCTTTAGAAAATAGCCCTAATGATATTCTTGAAGTATGTTTAAAATTTAAAATTTAAGTTTGTATGGTACAATAGTTCTTTTGATGAATTCAAATGCCTTTAAGATATGATGTTAAAGATTAAGATATTTATGAGGTTCTTGTCTCCTAGATATGCAATTTATACCAGGCACTTAGTCAATTTTCTATTCTGTCAAGGTGCCTGTTGCTAAGACGGGGTATCAGGCAGATCATTAAAAATTGTGTTTTTTTAAGATGCAAATTAGAACGTGTAATTATGTTAGGTGTTAACTTATTGGGTTGTTGTTATTGTGATATATAACCCAAGTTGTACATACATCCTTATCATGATTTTATCGTACATCTTTTTCCTGTTTAATGGGCGTATGACTATATTTATTTTAAAACTTTCAAATAGATGAAAATGAAGAGACAATCACATTAAAAATAATATGAATGTACATAAACTGATTTACATTCAATTTTATATTGTAATTGATATATTCAGTTGATTGAAATGGACCGATTTTGAATTTTAGTTTATGTTTTTAATTTTGATTATTATGGATGATATTGAATTAAAAGTTGTAAATTCTCTGAAAAAAAAGTTCAAAATGTAATTTGAGTGCAAAAACTTAAGATAAAGATAGATTTAGAACAATTGTTGATGTCAGACAAGATTAAGATCAATTATTGATGTCAGACAACTCCTGAACTCTGTATTATATTACATTGAATCAATGAAGTTCATATATGATAAATGATATGAACTTCTTTATTACATTACTCATAACATCCAAGATTGATATTTGATAAATGATATGAACTATTTTATTACATTGCTCCTAACAATCCATGATTGATATTTGATAAATGATATGAACTATTTTATTACATTGCTCCTAACAATCCATGATTGATATTTAAAACTCTTTATAAATTAATGAAAGAAACTTTTTGTCATAACCCCTATTTTGACAGTATGTGATTGAAAAACTGGGATAAAATGTGTAGAATTAAAGAAATAACTTTAAGGTTATTTTGAAGGATATCAGTTTGACTTTGAGCATTTGTCTTTGTTCACCTGGTGGTGCAGAAAATTAAACCGTAAATGCCATTTCATTTCATATCAGTTTGTGAAAGCAGTTTTTTGGATATATTTTTCGTGTATAATTATAGCAGTTGACATCGCATGCTTTGTGAATTAAAATTGAAATTCTGATGTAACGATCAAAAATATGGTAGATAAAAGGTATAATAAAATTGTGAATTTGAACGATATTTTCAAGTATGTCAGTTTGACTTTCACCATTTATCTTTATTTGTTAGCCCGCTTAGTGCTGAACACTAGAACTGTAAACCCCATTTCATTTGTCAAAGTTGCTCTTTAAACATATTTTAGGTATATATATAACTATATAAGTTGACATGATATATAAAATATGTGCCAACTTGTCCACATAAGAACATGTGACACTTCTTGAACAAAAAACAAATCACATCATCTGAAGTTTTCATAAATTTGTACAAATTTTGTGACTTTTTATAGTGACATTGTCATGTGATAAATTTGTTTTACCTGTTCCTTTGCCATTGTAAAAATTCTTGAAATAAAAAAGTCTCTCTCATAATACCATTCTAATAAATTTTTAATAAAATACATCTTCTCTCAAAATACCATCCAAATAATTATTTAATGAAATACATCAATTGCAATATCTGAATCCAAATTGTGCATTATATTACACCCTTACTAAAATTACCTTAGTCAAAATTTAGTTTTTTGGATCGATTGACTACTTTTCCTTGAGAAGCCCTCCATCGTGCATCATCGACAGTAGGAAACCAAAATGAAAAATCTTAAAGAACTGTCACGGCAACACTCGTTATTGAACCCTGGACCTCCTGGTTGGTCAGCCAGGCCATACTTACAGAGCAACTATGGCTCTCAATCCTAGCAACATTTGATGTTTATTTGAAAGTGTTTTACTGACACTTTGCAGGAAGAACACTAATGAGATGCTATATGTAATTTGACGTGTGTTTTATCAGTCGACCCGAACATTTACATCAGTTACGGGTTGCTGGTTGACGGAACTATCTCCATTATTAAACTGAATGTAACTATTGATGTTAGCTTTAAAGTTGTGTTTTATTTGTTTATAATTGCAGGTTGATACAATACCACAAGGTGTGATTGATATGAATAAAGTCACTGATGTGATCGATACAGAAAAACAAACATCACATTTATATTCACTTGGTATAGTTACACCAGAAAAAACACATTATATTAAAGGAGAATCAAAAGAGGAGTCATTATGGTGAGTAGTTTTAGCTTTTCCAAACTTCTGGACAACAAGGATTGGGCCAGGAACCTAGCATGATTTCATTGCTGCCATCTTGGAATTGTGATATATCTTAAATCGATTGACGCACAATATTGTCCAAGGAACAGGCATGACAAGGGAGGTTGCGTCAGGGGTCATATGAGCGTCTTTTGACCCTATGATGTCAGACACTGATTAATCAATCAATGCTGAGGTATATTTTAGGGGTTTACCCACAGTTCCATGCATAGCACGACAACAACTCGCGGTAACAGACCGTTCATTGGCTAATTCCTCACATCACTAGAACGCCTGTTATATAACAACTCTTCCAGATCCTAGTGTTGTGAAGACAAGTAAAACGAAATTGTAAACTATATAAAAAGAAACGTAATAGGATCGTGTTTTATTCAGATTGGTTTGATTACAAACTTTTTAAAACTACGTTTTATATGTCAACATTCATACTGCTGCTCTTATTGTGTCGTCTTTTGTTGAGGCGACAACCAGATGATGAAACTTTATATAAAATAATTATACAACTTTTACTATGTAAGGTGTGGGCCTCCATGCAGAATAAATATAAATTTCAATATGAATTGTCTGCTTGATGCAAAAAATGGATGAAATAATTTGAGTATAAATGATAAAAGCTTATGTTTAAAATGTGACGTATATACATGTATACATATATTAACCTATATGTGTGATGTACAGGTGTAATTACATATCAGTGTATTATTATATATAAGGTGTGGATTACTCGTAATTTACAACACAGATACAACCAAGACACTATCTGACTTGTTTTTGTGCTCATTGATGTGTAAAAATTCCACAGGGCATTCAACTTGACTTTTAATTTAATATTGTCATAAGAAAACAACTAAATTACGTAGTTCATGAGCAAATGACATCATTGTGTGGAAATATTTGGTCAAAACATCTTAATTTGATATAAGTAGGTTAATCTATTAGTTATTTGGCTGATCAAGGATGTGGTAGATTATTTCGAACATACATTACTAATGTTCCAGTCCCTACCTACCTTCCTATTAATTTTCTTAGTAAAAAGAATTCACAACACCCCAAGGTCACTTTTTATGGCAAACTACAAAATAGTTTTCTGTCACTCCTTAAAGAAATATTTTGTTATCTTGGCAATTTTCTGATGGAATTTATATTATTTTGGTCGTCTTTGTTTTTATGTATTACTGGATCATTTATTTATTATTTGGGTTCAGTTTTAGTTTCAGATGAGTTTTGATCTTTGTTCAATTATTATATTATAATTTTGGAATTAAATATTTCCTATTGTTTATATAAATAAAAAAAAAATATTTCCTTTGTTATATAGACAGCTATTTGTAGGTAAGGGTAGCACACAAAAGCTTTGTTGCAAACGTTGCCATTATGCTTTAAAAAATAAACACAGAGAAATTTACAATGTGAATTGACATTTCGATCTTATAGTTTCTATATCCTTGAAACACGATATCAGTTTTTCCTCTCTTAAAAGATTAGATTATTGACAAAAATACAATATCCTGACCTTGGGTTTTCAAATTGTCAAAAGTCACCTGTTGAATTTTGAAATTTAAGACACTTTACAAAGTTATGATGTGTTATAAAGAGATTGAATATCAGTTCTCATTTTGTTACCTTTATTTATTTACAACAATTTAATTAACTTAAAAGTCAGTGTTTGAACCCAAGGATCCCAATTTACACATCATAGCACATTCTAATATCAGTATCATCAGTATCATTAGTATCAATATCAAACAATCTCCGTCAAATAATTCATTTAAGTAGTACAGGTGGGAGTGACCGTGACCACCTACTGGTATTAAATTTATCTTGTGGGTTAATCCATGGATTAATGAGCACATTATCAGATTACTATCAGACCATCCATAGAGTCACTTTAATATGGAACGGGGTCAAGGGTCATCACATACATAATAATACACAGATCAGTTTAGTGGTCATTTTACCCTGTGATTATATCCCCCTTTTCACCACATGTCTTCCTTGATCCTTTTAATAAAACCCCTTTCAAAGCTAGGTACATGGGAATTGTGTTTGTCAATCAACACTATGCTAACCTGTATAATTATTGGGTCATTCTGTTTGACCCCCTACTAAAATTCCTACAGATCAGTCTACTAACCCAGTGGAGACCTACAGATATTTGGTCCTCCCCTCTTTAATCTTGAAATGTGTGTCAGTTTTATAACAGTTTGAATGACAAGTTTATACAATAGTTACCTTTATAAAGGTGAAATTAAGAATATTTCAAACCACAGGGATAACAATATTTCATAATATACTGACAACTTTCACTACTCTTCATTTGAATTTTTCAGACATTACTTTTCCCAATATTGTAGTTTGCAAGAGATCTAAAATCCCTCAAATGAAGATTCATGGCTTTATTACATTGTTATGTAGGACTTGTTGTTGTATTCCAATATTGATAATTGCCCAGTATCGCTTGTTTTTAGATTTAGATTACAGATAATCCAGGTCCTAGTTTTGAAACTCTGCAAAAGACTTTTTTGTATTACATTTTACTCATAGTATTTGTACGAGAGATAGTATCACCAGGAAACTAAATGAATCAGATATTCCGAGTTTCAGCTTATTGTTATAAATATGAAATGATATCAAATGGGGTTTATTAACGTCCTACATTTCTGCATTTACTGAGCTATAATGACGACAGTCTTACACCATACAGTGTGCTATGTAGGAAATTTTTCCTGAACAGTGGCGCTACGGCTTACTCTTCTAATTGTCAAAGGGTTTTTTTTATGTGAGAGGCAATGTAAACACGGGACCTTGGTTTGATTCCATCCACTACTGACTAGTGGAAACCTCGCTGGAAAATCTAGAGGAACTGTCTCATTCAACATCAGGAGCAACTGGAGACTGCCTGGTTAGCAAGCCAGCACCTAACCCACTGCGCCACTGTGGCTCATCTTCCTATTCAAATAAAAAGAAAAATTGTCAAAAATGATGTTGGCATAAAGTTTCACATTCTTTTTATCCTCTGTTCCGAAGATTTATTTCACTCATTAAGTTCTGTATAATTTGTCTTATTACTATCAGATGTATTATGTGGTCTAACGCAAACACTTTTGGCCAGGGCATACATTCTTTTGAAAGTCCTGAAATTTTCTGATCATTTACATATCACCGAAAGTAAAAATTGATCCCTTAAGCTTTTAAACCATGAAAGATTCAATCACATTTAATGAAAAAGTCATAGCCTTTACACTTTATTTAAACGGGAATGTATTTATTTATTGGGATGGGATGTACAGTCTATACACAACTCTATACACTGTTATATACTCTTATATATTTAGAAGAAAATGTTAACTTAAAGATACATTATGTAAGATTTAGCTGAAGAACTGGGTGTTCTTGCTATAATAGTTCAAAAATAGCTGATCATGTGAAATGAATATATTGATAATTTAAGTCTAATTGCTTTATTCTGAGAAAAGTGATGAGTGTTTGAAGTTTTAACGTGATATTCTGAATGGTAGAGTACCATTGCTACGATAATAAAGTCTCGATTATCCATTTTATCATTAAATTTTAAATGGCAAGAGAGTTCTAATCCCTAAAATATCCCAAGCCAATCAACGGCCTAGAGGGTTGATTATGGGCTTGTTGTGTGAATAAATCTCTAAATGATAATTTATACAACATTTAAAGCTAGAAAAAAGACCTGCAATAGGCAGATTTAGCTCTTACATAAAATCTTATTACAACACAGAATTCACTCAATTATCTACATAAAAACTGAAAGAAACTCTAGATGATCAGTGGAAGCTTTTAAATCAGTAATTAATTAGTAGACAATGTTATTTTCTGGAGACAATTTGATTCTAGTGACACTCAATAATATTCTAAGTACATCTTCACTTTAATTAAAGATTGTTAAAAGCCACTATAAAAACACAATTATTGCCACATGTAAGTGATAAGATTGAAGTTACACACTATAATGACCATGAGACTTGGCTGTTTCTTTAAGAGACAGGGTGGTTTTGGTGGATCATTTTTCACATCACTGCCATCCTTGTTCTACTTGTCATTCTGTGTAAAGGTGACCTTTTACAACCAGTGTAAGCCACGTGTGTACATTACTATAGGTGTAGGCTGACAAAACTTTTACTAAAACATTCTCAACCACAGTGTGCATTCAGCATTTAATTCAACAAGTAATCAGAAGTTAGAATTGGTGACTACAGTAATTGATGATTGTGGTAAGTTTAACTGGTTGTCCAGGAGGTAATATGATTTTTGTCGTTATGTTGAGTGGGAAGCCTTAGTGGCTCAGCGAGTAAGATACTGACTCGCTAGCCAGGAGGTATCATGTTCGCTCTTTGTGTTGGCCGATAAAGCATGGTTTAGCATTGTCACTTGTGCAGGTCTGTGGTCCTGGCAAAGAATTTCTAGGCAACACCACTGCAGTGCTGCTTTGAATTGAAGTTCTAGGGTATTCAGATCCTAGCGGTGCTGCTTAGGAGTTCTAGGTAATATCCTGGCAGTGCTGCTCAGTGCTAGGATATTAAGATCTTGGCAGTGCTGCTCAGGAGCTCTAGGATATTAACATCCTGGCAGTGCTGCTCAGGAGCTCTAGGGTATTAACATCCTGGCAGTGCTGCCAGGGGGGGGGGGGCTAAGGGAAGTACAATGACAGAAAGTGCTGGATAGTCTCCAGAATACCTCATTGGACGCAGTCACAGACAGAAGTATGTATAGATAAAAGATTATATTAATTGAATTTCATTACATACTGATTATAAACATATAATTTATGGGAGAGCTCCTATGGTGTCAGGAAGATTAAAAACTGATCCGAAGTTTTCAGGTGTCAAAATGTTGTTATATATTGTATATGGGACATATAGATTTAACATATAGATAAGGTATACCAATATAGGTATTGTCTCTTGTCATGTTTGTGGTTTATT